GGGAGGACCTGGAACTCAGCACTATGCAGGGAGGGATGGGTGATGCATGGCCCAGCTAGGCTACGGTGGGGTGGGAGCCGGGAAGGGGCTTAGTTGGGTTGAGGGTCTAGGAGCTGGCATGGAGCTCAGTAGGGGGAGCCAGGATGCAGGGGAAGGGCGCGAAGGGCAGGAGCGGGGGGCCAGAAATGAATGGCTTCCCCTGACCCAGAAAAATCTCTCATCTGTGACCAGTCGGGTCCCAACGGTGCCAGAGCAGGGAGGTCCAACCTGTAGCGTCACCTAATGCTCTTCAGAAAACAGAACCACACATGCTGATCATGAGGTATTATTCCCTGCTAACCGCTGATTCAAGTTTACCCAGTAAAATGTCTAGGAGCCGTTACTATGCTCTGTGACTCCTGTTTTTAGAATCCAGGAATAAACGAGGCCAACCTACAAGTCGGTAAGAAATAAATTGCTTTCTAAATAGAGACATCTTTCCCAAAAGATGTTTTTGCCTAGATAACGAAGACAAATGACCCATTTACATGTTAATTAAGTTACATAATTCCCACATGTTAAAATTACACAAATACGTGCATTACTGTGTGTGCAGCAATAAATCTTGTCATTAAGAATAGGGAGCTCCCATTTTGGAGGGAAACTGAGGTTACAGAATGTTAATACACATCTTATGACTAGTTAGGCGGACTCAAATTGTACAATTCAGCTCTGGTTCTGGATACAAACTTCCTTGAAGTTCGGGGTGTTCCGTATTTTGGCTTAGTTTTTTACAGAGATGGGATTGTTATTTTCCCTGCCTTGAAAACATCCCTGAATCCCTCCACCTCCCACATTCCCAAATCACCATGAAGATTTGAAAGAAAACACAAAATTCATACTTTACGTGTCACTAACTGTTGCAATTTTTTTTTAAAGAAAAACACAAAGGTACAGTAATCAAGTCCCCAGACTCTTGAGTAGTTGGGCCTACATCGCTTGTATCGGCTCTTCTACAGCAATACACTTTTACCAGCTTAATTTGTAATTTGCTAAGAGCTGAAACAAAGCAAAGTTTCAACCCAAACCAGTCTGCATGTGCTTAAGAAACACACTCAGTTGATGCTGCTCTGGCTGGACAGGAGTGCAAGCCTTTTCAAGATTAACAAAATTCTGAACTCGGTCCTACTGCCTTCCATGGCCTTCCATCCAAAATGTTGCACCATAAAAAGTGTGACAACACAGATTTCGGTTATCTGACTCTTCCCTGCAAGAGCATGTGCCAGGGGTGAAGCATTACTGTCTCATTATTTGTATTTCAACTTATTCTCCCTGCTCGGGGCTCAGCCAATGGTCCTTGCATTTGGGGTCAATCATGCTGGCAAAATAATAGCATCTCCAAATCATTTTTCAGCCTTGCCCTTGTGTGTTTTCAATTCTCTGCTCTTAATTAGATCAACCTGGATTTCAAATGAGACTGCAGCAGCACTGTCATCAGCCTGTAATCTCTCAAAGCCTTTCATAACTTTTTCCACAGTTGCTTTTGTAAGGTTAGTGTCTCTCTGTCTTGTGGAGCACGTGCTATGTTCTGATCAAAATCCTCTCTAGGCTCAGAATGAATGTTCACACAATCACAAGGTAGTGATGCAAATGGAGACAAAGAGACACTCACCCTGAGAATCCCTCTACATTGGAAAGCTGAATCATCCGCATGCTTTCATCAGCCATCTACCCATGGGACTGATGGTGACTCCAGAAGAATTTCTGAACTTCCACAATGTACTTTAGGACCCACTTTTTTTTAAAGATTGTCTTTGTTTCCTCACAAGGTTTCAATAGTGTTCTGCACACCCACAGATCGAAGGGTATGTCTACACTACCACCCTAGTTTGAACTAGGGTGGTTAATGTAGGCAACCGGAGTTGCAAATGAAGCCTGGGATTTGAATTTCCCAGGCTTCATTTGCATGTTGCCGGGCGCCGTCATTTTTAAATGCCGGCTAGTTCAGACTCCATGCCCGCGGCTACACGCGGCACAGACTAGGTAGTTCGGATTAGGCTTCCTATTCCGAACTACCGTTACTCCTTCATCCTGGTGGGTTTACAATCTCCTTCCTGGTGGGTTTACACAAGTAGGTAGTGCCTCTGGAATGACGACACAGATACAAGCTCATTAAACAGCACATACATTTTATGGCGCTGCTGATGCCAAAAACACTTTGGCTGGGCAGGAAACACCTTCTTGCCCAACCAGATCTTCATCTCCGGGTTACTTCCTGAGGCAGGGGTCTTTCCGGTCTAGGAGCAACTTCCTGAGGCAGGGGTCTTTCCAGTCTAGGAGCAACAAAGAACTTTACAGACTGTCTGTGGCTATGCCATACGTGCAGGTTCAGCCAGTACTGTAACCGTTACATTATTTTTATTGCCTAAATAAATGGTAAAGGACTTTTCTCACACTTTTCTTGGTGGTTGGCTTTTAGCATCTTGGGAACAATACCTCCTGGTTTTGCTTTCAGTTCTCACCATTTGCACTGTACTAGTGCCAGTCGTTATTAGTGAGTTATTAATGTTAGACCAATATTCATGGACTAATGTCAGCTGTGCTTCTTTCAGTTCCTCCTTTAATCTTTCCTCTGTTTCTTTATATGGAGCATCCAAGTTGGGATGCCCTCCAAGATTTCCCTCCCGGCTTATCCAGAACACCTTGTTCAGTTCTGGGAGAAAATTTCATCCAGTTCTCTAGGATCCAAAACACTCAGTCCGAGTGATGGGTTTCATCGCTCAGGTTCTTTTATCTGGTCAATAGCAAAGCTACAGTAGGTTGATCAGATTCATGTGTAGAGGGTGCAAATAGGGCATACCACATATCCAAAGTTACAGACAACCTCTTCCTTTATAGACACTGACACAATATATTTGCTGTTCTTTGAATCACACATTTTTGATTGACTCAGTTTCTGTGTGAGAATTCCTCTTGGTGTATCACGTTCTGTCCACGTGGAACCTGATTCTTACATCCCACGTTTATTTTGTCCACGGTCCTTAACACCAAGCGGCTGTTGCTTATCTTAGCTAGCACTGACATCTTGACTCCATCATTGTTTGTCAAGCCCCTCATTACAATTTAATCTTCCATGTACCTTCTCAATAGATCCACTAAGGAATGAGTTAGTAAGTTACTTTAATCAAGCAAGGCTTAGAACCCAGTGGCAGAAATGGATGGGAACATCTGGAAATGGGTGACAGGAGAGGGATCACGTGAGGATTACCTGTTGTGTTCACTCCCTCTAAGGCACCTGGCACTGGCCACTTGTGGCAGACAGGCTACTGGGCTAGATGGACCTTTGGTCTAACCCAGTATGGCCATTATCATGTTCTTCAGAAGTATAACCTGTAAGAGTACTTTTTTTTTAAAGTTGCTGAGTGAGTGGTACACAGAAGGCAGTTGTTGTTATGACATGATCACAGATTGATCTTTGGCCTGCGGAAGGCAGTTGTTATGACATGATCACAGATTGATCTTTGGCTTGCTTGGACACTGAAGATGAAAAGAAACTGCTGGAAAGATTAGGGCAAGCTTATTGTTGTGATTCTATCTCCGTGACAATTACTTTGGAACAGTACACCCATCAAATACATCAGTGTTCTCCTCTTCCATTTCAATAATCAAAAGCATTAAATGGTATATTTGGTCTTTAATCTGAGAAGGCCACTAATCATTTCTATCTTGGTATGATACAACCCTCCGTACAGCAGTATCTCTTTTTATGATTTCATTTCATTTGATCACTTATTTCTTACTGATGTTGTCAGTCTTATTTGGTAGATGGATAAGATTAAATTCACATACTGGCCTTGTTTAATCCTTAGGCATTTGCAACATGGCAACCATTTTGATCCACAGGATTTACAACATTCAGACTTTGGAACTACCACTTAGGGTATTGAAGGAAGATGGACAACTTGGCTTATAAAGAACCAAATGATTAAGTCGCCTGTCCATCTTCCAGAAGTTTCTAAAATTCCAGAAAAACAAGCCCCACAACTGTTCACCACTCCAGTCAGCCCGATCTCTTCGATATTCATTGAGTTGATTTCAACCACTAGCCCCATCTCAAATCATCAATGACACCATCCAGCTCTAGCAACTCTGGGCTTCAAGATCATTCCAAAGCTTTCATAGTTTTCTGAAGCGCCTGAAGGGCATAACAGGAACCTTGATGTTCTTATCTCTTCCAATTTAAGTTTCCAGAAGAAAGTTCCAATTCACAAAATAAAATTAGAACCTTAAGTATGAAAAACTTTAATATCTACTATGTTCACGTAATTACCTCAGAAATACAAACACATCCAAAACATTTGCATGGAGGAGAACACCCATGAACTACCACTGCATTGCATTTTTCCTTACATTAAAACAGTTTCCTCCTCTCACTCTACCTTCAGCCCTGGAAACAGATCCTGAATTGAGCAGAATTCAGAGTAGCATTTTGGCTCAGGTCTGTCCTTGATAGACACAGACACTTGATCATTTTTCCTCCTGTGGACTCTGTAATATGCCAGTGTGATGTGCCAGGCCTCGACTATAAGTGTGGTATGTCGTACAGCCTAACAAGAAAATTGTAAATGATCTATTTAAACAAAACAGTGAGTACATTAAGAAGATGACATGTTTTGATGAATCCAATAAATTTCTCCTTCTCTCTCCCATTCCTTTTAAACTTCAAAGCAATCAAATGTTGTTTATGCATAAAATTTAATTCTTTCACAAAACCGTAGCTTGATTGAATTTGCATACTCTATTTCCTGTGAGCCAGTGTTAAGAGAACCTCTTGCAA